ATGTCTCCAAAGAACCATCAAAGATTCTATAAAGGAATTCTGATTTAAAGTGGGAAATTATACAAAAGAATTTCAAGTTTTTACAGAATCTAGATTTTCTGGAGCTATAAAGCCCAGATGAATCACTGAAACTACTGACCTAAGGTACTTGTTTTCTTCTATTTATAGAGCACTCTTAAAATCCAAACTCTATTGTGTACAGGAATATAGAAACATTATAAAAATAATATATATCAACATTTGTTTAATTAAAAAAATTATACATATGGTGAGCTCTGGTGGCCTAGTGACAAGAGGCTGCACTGCAGTCCCAGAGGTGTGCTGTTAGAATCCACCAGATGCTCTGCTAAAGAAGGAGGGACAATCTCCTCCTGTACCAGTCAGATCTGATTTGACAGTACACAACCCCCTCAAAAAAAAAAATTTTAAAAAATAAATTAAAAATATTATACATAATAATACATAGTTTTTCTTTTTTTTTGGTCAAACATTCTTTTAAGTGTTATAGCATTGCTCTGTCCATTTGCTGTACAGAGGTAACTTGTGGTTGCTGTGATCCTAAACACTGTGATTACTCATGTGTCAAATGCAATAGTGGTTACCCATGGTGGACAGTGTTTGGTGGAGCTCTCCGATTAAAACAGGCTTGGAAGCAGGCGTGGCATCCACTTCCAAAACAGTTTGCCTTCAGAAATTCTATGAACTTGGAGAAACAATGAAAGTTATACAAGTGTTCAGGTTTTGGTTCATAGGGTCACTATGAGACATCTATGACTCAACAGCACTTAACAACAGCATACATAATAAAAACAAAGTTCTACTGTGTGCTAGAAACAGCAGCTCTGGAGGTACAATCCATACTAAGATTGACCCTGCTAATCCAAAGATTGTGTGCCTGGCAGTTTGAATCTATCTTAAGCAGTTCCTTCTCATTGTGATTTACAACCTCAGAAACCCAATGGAAAGTCACTATGAGTCAGAACTGCCTCCATGGCAAATAGCTCAATGATTAGTGAGTGTGTGCTAAATGAACCAAGCACTGCGCTAAATGCATGTCTCTTCACATAACTGTTTGTTGTTGTGTACCACTGAGTCAGAACCAACCCACAACTGACCCTCTGACGGGTTTTCAGAGGCAGTTAACCACACAGGATTTCGACAAGTCATGGAGGTGGTGGCTGTTATGTATTGAGTCTTTCCCCTAGCTGAACTCTCCAACTGTTTTCAGAGGCACAGAAAGAGACTGTCTGCCTTTCTCCTGAAGATCATCTGGGAGATTCAGACACCTGCCTTTGGGTTGGCAACACAACTCCTTACCACTAGGCCCATCAGTCAATGAGGTAGTTACTACTATTATACCCATTTTTTTAAAAAGTAGAAACTGAGGCTTAAACAGGTAAAGTTACTTGTCCTAAGACACTCTTCAGTGGGACACTAACACACACTAAATAATCCTCAAATTCAACTATTAGTCTTAATTTTAAATTCTATAACTTAGCTGCTCATAGGTCCATGTATCTTCTTGGCATATGTTTGAACAAAAATGTAATCAGAATTGCCTTTCCCAAGAGAAATCAAGAGTAAAAGAGCACAATCCTATTTCAGGTTGTACATCAGGTTTTAAAGGAAAGGTAAGTGTACATTCTGTAGATGGGGATAAGGAAAGACAAGTTTTCCAAAGTTCAGTTACATTTATTCCACCTAATAAAATCTTTAACCTTAAATAGTAAACACATTTGCATACTTTTAGAATGTAATCAGTATCACTAAGGCATACAAGCAGAGATTGTTTAACTGGTTTACATGTGCAACTGAGTTGCACAGCTGATTGATATGTAACTGTTACCATTAAGTTGTACATTTATAAAATTTAATTGGCAAATGTTGTCTAACATGTATTTCTAATAACAATGATACACCAAAAAAAGTAATTGCTGATGCTGTTTATACACAATCAAACACCTCAGAGAATTTGATTCCTCGATGAATTTAAGATTTGGTTTGGTTTAAGGTTATGGTTTCATGGGACAACCCAGTCTATATTGGCTTAATAGCATGGTTAGCACTTTTTTCCTATCCTCCAGAGTGGCCATAGTGCCTGGGATCTTTAAAACCTGCAACTGGAATCTAAGGCACAAACTGGCATCTTTTCACCTAAACAACAGAGGAAGAAGGAGAGTCAGGAATAGGAGAAGGAAATAGAACATGTGACTAGTTCCCTAGACTAGAAAATGCCATTTCTTGCTATGAGACTTGGAGAACTGGACATCTGGTGACTGGCTACCACTACTGAACATTTTGACCAAAAATTTCAAAAAGAATCCTAATCAAAAGGGGGGAAATGCAGAGCAGAATCTCAAAATCTAATGGACTCAAGACTTTCTGGGGCCATCAAAGCTGGATGAACCTTTAAAAGTACTGCCCTAAAATAAATCTTTAAACTTTAAGCCAAAAATATTTTCTGAATCCCTCTTAACCAAACTACAATTTAGCCGAACTAGTCCAAAAATGCCTTTTTCAAATATTATCCTTTTCTAAGATCTATCTATATGATGAGCTCAAGCAACAACTGGAAAGGTTACATAAGAACTTAGGAACAGTGAGTTTTTGTTAATAATAGAAGAACAATGCAGAAAAAGACACTGAGAATGGTTGGACAATCTGAACTCATGTAATTAATGTAAATGAATTATGCAAACAGAAACTTTTGGGCTGGTCTACATTCTGCTGTACATATTCTCAACAAGAATAAAAAATTAATTTTTTAAAAAAATAAATCCAAAATCCATGTTTATCGTGACTCTGTTCACAATAGCAAAGTGTTGAAAACAACCCAAGTGTCCAACAACAAACGAATGGAGAGAAGCTGTGGTATATTCACACAATGGAATACTACACTACACTGAAAAACAAGGAACTAATGTCACTCCAGAGTAACCCCGGAGGACATTATGTTGACTGAAATATCTGTCACAAAAGGACAAATACTGCATAGTGTCACTGTTGTAAAACAGGACTGACATAGGGGTTGGGGTTGACTGAAAAAAGATGGGATAAATTATGTACACTGCATTGAAAGAACAGAGGGAGAGAACTGTTTTAAAGGGATATGTTGTTGTTGTTGTTACGTGCCATCGAGTCGCCTGCGACTCATAGTGACCCTATGTAAAACAGCCCTAAACTCCACTCTGTCCTGTGCCAATCGCACTGTCTCTGACACGCCCATCCCAATTATCTCAGTCACTGAATCAATCCATCTCATAGAGGGCCTTCCTCTCCTGCGCCGTCCCTCCACCCTCCCAAGCATGATGTCCCTCTCTAAGGACCGGTCTCTCCTCACAACATGTCCAAAGTAAGTTAGACAGAGCCTCAGAATCCTTGCCTCCAAGGAGCCACCCGGTTTAACCCTCTCCAGGACAAATCTGTTTGTTTTCCTAGCAGTCCATGGTATTCTCAATACTCTTCTCCAGCACCACAGCTCAAAGGCATCAATTCTCCTCCTATCCTCCTTGGTCATTGTCCAACTCTCTGATGCATAACAGGTGACTGCGAAGACCATGGCCTGTATCAGACGCACCTTAGTCTCCAGAGAGACACCATTTCTCTTCAGCACTTTGGAGAGGTCCCTAACAGCAGACTTTCCCATGGCAATGCGCCTTTTAATTTCCTGGCTGCTGGTGCCAAGACTGTTGACTGTGGAGCCAAGCAAACTAAAGCTGTGTACAATCTCAATCTCTTCACCATCCATCCTGATGCTGCCAATTGGTCCAGTGGTGAGAATCTTTGTCTTCTTGACATTGAGCCTCAATCCATATTGTAGGCTGCACAGTCCTTGACACTCTGCAGCAGGCGCTTCAGGTCCTCCTCAGTTTCAGCAAGCAGGGTTGTGTCAATCCGCATAATGCAGATTGTTGATAAATCGTTAGGTATTATTGTCATGACAGGTGCCCAGAATGAAGGCTGCATAGTGGAGCTGACTTGGGGGGAGGGACTGTATAACAATGAAAGAATTTAAAGGCTACATAGTGTGTGGACTTGAGGGGAGGGATTGTATAACAATGAAAGAAATTTTCTTTCACTTTTCAAAGAGAAGAGCGAACTGGGCAGGGGTTGGGGGAGTGGGAGTTGGGCAGGAAAAAAAGTGCAACAGTGAATGAAGGAAATCCAAAGTCTCTGTAAACTTTCATTAAAATTAACTTTTTTTTAAAAAAAAGAAAATCTAAAACAGACATTTATTAAAAAGCTAATTAACTTGCTTTACTGTAAGATTTCTCAATAATGCTCATTTAAAATCTCACCAAAGCTCTATTTAATATCCATCACCTTGAAGGAGTTTATTTGAATAAGATTATATTAAAATAACAAAAAAAGTTGTAGTATTACTATTCTATGTTTTCAAGAGTGGTTACCTTTGTTGTTCTTTTAGTAACTCAATCTATATAAACATTACAAAATATCATCTGATGGGGAGGATTGTATAACAAATGAAAAGAATTTTTCTTTTCTTTTTTTTTTAAATTGTATTATTTTTATATGTACCGTCAAATCAGATCTGACTGGTACAGGAGGAGATTGCCCCCTCCTTCTCCAGCAGAGCATCTGCTGGATTTAAAGAATTTTTCTTTTACTTTTCAAAGAGAAGAGAGCAAATGGGGGTGGGCAGGGAGAAAAATGCAATAAGGAATGAATGGAAATCCAAAGTCTGTAAATGTTCATTAAAATTAAGAATAAAAAAAAATTAAAAAGATCATCTAATGTAGTATTTTCCTTAAGAAAACTTACAAGTATACCAATTATCAATAAAAGAATTTTCACAAGGAATATTATTAATATCAATTATTCATAATAATAGTAATCAAACATAACCCATAGAATACTTTTGGAAATACGAGTCAATCTCCTTGTAAAGAATATAAATTTCTATAACTATGTTAATGAACAGTGCATATTTTAAAAAGATCCATTTTCTATTACAGTAAGAGACACTATATTTTACTTACTTTTGTATAACATTTTGCAAGCTTAACATCATACCCAGTTCTCCTTTCATCTTTTCTCTGTTAGCACGACATTCTGCCAAGTACCGAAGAGCCTACAGCAGAAATTTTAACATGTTAATCCACATGTCATTATTCAAAATCAAAAGCACTTATCCTTATCTCAATAGGATTTTATTCTCTCTTATGCAACTGTAGGTTAGAACATATCCATTGGAAAAGTAATGCATTACTTTAGTTGCAGTGGGTAGTAGGGGGAAAAGAAGAAAGGAATCAAAAGTAATCAAAACACAGGAGAAGGGAGCTTTGGTGGCCTAATAGCAAGAAGCTGTGCCCCAATCCTGAAGGCACACAGTTTGAATCCACCAGATGTTCCACTGGAGGAGGGGCACTCTCCTCCTGTGCCAGAGGGATGTGACTGACACAACAGGGGGTGGGGTGGGGTGGAAAGAGAGCAAAGAAAAAAACTGGAAAAAAAGGTTTTGTTTTCAGAATCAACGGTTCAGAAACTCTCTTTAATGTGAAATCACAACAGTTCCAGGGTAGATGTCATCCTGTAGTAACTGTATCTCTTCTTTTAAGTGAAGCTTCCTTATCTTATTTGCAAGGTCAAATCCAGGTGGCCTCAGTTCTATTTTCATCATTTCACCTTGACATTGTGGGATACAAGGAACCTGATCTACTAATTTCAGAGAGAAATCCCAATAGTCATCATTTCTTAGATGATTCTGGTACACTAATTAAAACACACTGGTGAGGGAACCAAACCTTCATGGAATGAGTGAATTCTTAACACAACTCATCTTCAAAGTATCTTATTTTTAAAAAGATCATTTTTCTAAAGAATTTGTTTTCAGTGATCTAAACTAATATTTCTACAGTGTTTTTCTTATAATATTTAGTACACCTTTTCCCAAGTACTTCCTTCACGAGTGGCTGCTTTTGGGATCAAATCTGACTATTCTCCCCTAACACCCCTCATGGCTATTGCCATCCACAGATTAATCAATTCTTATTTTTCATGTAACTGTCCAGGGAACATCTCTATGGATCACATGACTCAGACACTTCAGTCAAATGACCTTCACCTTTCCAAAGCACTCTGTCATTATACAAAACAGTGCCATCTACAAATTATAGTTCAAAGACCCCCTCTGACCACAACTTCATTTCAGTCTCTAGAAGATTAACTGCTATGAATAAATGCACTGCCTCCGGAAAACAAACAAACAAACAAAAAAAATACAACACTACAACACCAAAACCCAAAAGCAACCAGAATAGCACTTATTGGGAGGAGGGGGAAAAAAATCACTTTCAGATATGAACAAAATACAAGCAAAGACTGAGAGAAGAACATCCTATCCTCATCAAGGTGATGCGGTGAGGCCTACAGTGATCCGAGTGTGCTCCTCTGAAGGCAGTTACCAGCCTGCAGCACAGGAGGAAGAATCCAAACACAGACCAGCAGCCTGGTTGAACTACAGACCCCAGAATCTGGGACAGAATTTGGGACACAGGTGTAAAAAGAATTTAAGGAGCAGAAAAACAAGGAAAAGCAAACTACACAGTGAGACAGCTTCAAGGAGTCCAGTTTAATGTTAGAAAGTCTAAGTTCCAAAGAGGGCTTTTCCAGAAGATTGTTAACTTCTCCTGAGGCACTACAGCCCCAAGTGAAATTCAACTTTATAAACTCACTTACTCACTGACACTGAGCTGGAACCAATTCATAACTGATCACTGGGTTTCTATAGCTGTAAGTCACATGGTTGGAGACTATCCATCTTTCTTCTGAGGAGCCACTGGTAAATTTGAACTGCTATTGGGTTAGCAAGTGTAACATCCCATGGACTACGACACTTGAGTTCTTAATAAGATATGCTGAGATATGCTAGTCATTAAACTAACTGCCGATAATATCACATTACAGTAGAAATTACCAATTCTATAATCCTTAACTTACCAGAAAGTAGTTTGAGGATCAAAAGTAAAACATATACACTCTGATCTAGTAAAGAAAATATAGGTCTATCAGTATAGTTATTCACTTCTGCTGAACTGGCAATGACGTAGAGAGGCCCTCCATTGGCTTTCCTGGGCTGTCAATCTTAAGAGAAGGAGACTTCTCTTTCTCCCACAAAGTGGTCAGTAAATTTGAACCATTCAAGATGGACAGCTTTTTGGTCAGCAGCGCAGCTACTCGGCAGGGCTCCTTATGTCAGTATACTCAAAAGTCACTCCTTCCTTCATCTTTTTTCATTTTGAAGATTATTCATAACATCCCTTTAGAATATACTTTCCCAGGTCCTCAGCAGATCTAATGGCAGCAATGGCCTGACTGTCCTCCCTCCGCCTGACCTAAACGGGTCATTTCCTCCCAGACTTGAAACAGGAACTGAAAAACACTAGTCAGGAGGTTATAGTGCCAGAACTATTAGGACATATTACCTGTTACCATCTTACCATATGACCTGTGAGGATGCACTATCCAGGGTCAAAGAAGGCCTGTTGACTCAAAAGTTAGCATTCAACCTACCCAGTAGCACCATAGGAGGAATATTTATGTTCCCGTAATGACTACCAACCAGAGCTCCCCGATTAAAATAAGCGTGGAAGGAGGAGTGGCATCCACTTCCATAATAGCTTGCCTCTGGAGACCCTATGAATCTGGAGTGAGGATGAATGGCACCCAAGCGTCGAGGACTCTCCTTCATAGGGTAGCTATGAGTCGCCTGCAACTCAACGGCACTTAACAACAATAATGACTACAGTCTAGAAAGTCCTATGGGACAGTTCTGCTTTGTCACGGGGGGTGCTGTTAAGTCAAAATGGCCCAAAGATGCCCGATAACAAAGCTATTAGCTAGGAACTAAAATTCCACATGGGAACTTTTATACCAACAGGTCAGCAGAGAAGCAAGAGAGCAGGAAAAAGGGAGCACAGACACAGACATGTGTAATTATAAAGTCCTAGCCTTCATGTGCTCCCCAAGATGTGCCAAGAAATCTGGAAGACAACTTGGCCAACTGACTGGAAGAGATCTATATTTATTCCCGTTCAAAAAAAAAGGTGACCCAACAAAGTGTGGAAATTATCGAACAATATCAATGATATCACACACTAGCAAAATCCTGCTGAAGATCATCCAGAATAGACTTGAGTAGTACTTGACAGAGAATTAACAGAAATACAAGCTGCATTTAGAAGAGGTCATGGCACTAGGGATATTACTGCCAATGACATATGGATCTTGGCAGAGAGCAGAGACTACCAGAAGAATGTCTATCTGTGTTTCATTGACTATGCAAAGGCATTTGACTGTGTGGATCACAATAAATTGTGACTAACATTGAGGAAAATGGGAATCTCATAACACTTGATCGTGCTTATATGAAACCTGTACTTAAACCAAGAAACAGTACTCAGAACAGAGCAAGGAAACACTGCATAGTTCAAAATCAGGAAAGGAGTGTGTCAGGGATGCATCCCATCCCCATACCTTTTCAATCTGTATGCAGAACAGATCATTCGGGAAGCAAGGCTTTATAAGGAGTGTGGCATCAAGATTAGAAGAAGACTCCACAACCTAGGATACGCAGATGACACAACCTTGCTTGCTGAAACTGAAGCAGCCCTGAAGCACTTGCTGAAAAAGGTCACAGTCTTCAATATGGGTTGAAGCTCTATATCAAGAAAACAGATTATCACCACTGGGCCAAATGGCAACATCATAATAGATGGAGAAAGGATTGCGGTTGTTAGCAATTAAAGCTTGCTCGGATCCACAATCAACACTCTTAATACCAGCAGTCAGGAAATCAAAAGATGAACTGCATTGGGAAAATCTGCTGTCATGGTCCTCTCCAGAGTGCTGAAGAGCAATAATGTCAGACTAGATACAAAGGTGAGCCAGATCCAAGCCATGGTCTTCTCAATTATTTGTTAAGCTTCAGAGCGTTGGACAATGACTAAGGATGACAGAAGAACAACAGATGCCTTCGAGTTATGGTACTGGAGAAGAGTCTGTCTTGGAGAAGGTGAAACCAAGTCTCTCCTTGAAGGCTAGGATTTTTGAAGCTCCATCTCACTTACTCTGGGCATGTAGCCAGGAGAAACAGGTCCTTGGAGAAGGACATCAGGTTCTAAAGGGTGGACGGAAAGCCCAGGAGAGGAAGACCCCGATGACATGTACTGATACAGTGACTGAGGCAATGGGGGTTGGTGTGTCAGAATTAGTGAGACTGGCTCAGGACAGGGAAGGGTTTAGAGCTGCTGTACATAGGGTCGCTATGCATCACAGGCAACTCAATGGCACATAACAATAGGTGTGTTCTGGTTTGGAAGCAGGAGTGGCATCCACTTTCTAAACAACATGCCTCCAGAAACTCTATGAACTTTGATAAATGTCGGTAATTGGAGAGTGGCTTCAGGCCTTTTGTTCACTGGGTCGCTATGAGTTGTGCTCAACTCAAAGGCAGTCAACAACAACAGACAACAGAGTAAAAGATCAGTTTCCACAGCTCCCATCCTCATCACTAATTTTAGTTCTTACCACAAGGACCCTAAGTTCTGGTATTCCTGCTTTCTCCGAACAGCTTTCCTATACTACCTCTCTTAAGATCACATCACAATCTTTTACCCAGACAATAGGAAAGAAAGGAGAAAAAAGGACTTAAAAAGTAGAAAATATGGTTAACTTAATTCTCTATCAATCCAGGAGAATGTTGCAAAGCTATTAAAAAAATAGTAAATCTTGCTGGAGAAGGAGGGGCACTCTCCTCCTGTACCAGTCAGATCCAATTTGACGGTGTACACACATACACATATTAGTAAATCTTATGTACATAATGTCCATTAAAAGTCCAATATAAACCTAAAGAAACCAGAACTTCCACCCAAGCAGAAATATGCACACTTACGCTTATTGCTGCTTTGTTCACAATATCAAAGAGGTGGAAACAACCAAAGTGCACATCAATAAATGAATGGCTAGAGAAGCTGTGATATATTCACACAATGGAATGTTATGCAGCACTGAAAAACAAAGATCTCATGAAATATTATACAAAATGGGTGACCATGGAGGACATTATGCTGAATGAAATAACTCAGTCACAAAAAGACAAATACTGAATGTCACTGTTACAAACCAGGACTGACATGGTGGTTGGAGGAAAGTAAGAAAAGAGGGAATAAATAATGTACATGGCATTGAAACAGATAAGGGAAAGAATTGTATAAAAGGAATGTATGATTAGGTATTATTGGCAAGACAAGAATCCAGAATAAGAGATGCATAGTAAAGTGGATTGGGTGGGGCAAAGGGGTCTGTATAACAATGAATGAATTTATTTTTTCCAAAGAAAAAAACAACTGGGGGGAGGGGCAGGGAGGAAAATGTACAACAATGAATAAATGGATATCTAAGTTCTCTATAAACTTTCATTAAAATCCCAATAAATTTTTTTAAAAGTCCAATATAAAAAGGAAACTGGAATTTTCTGAACTATCACTTGACAAGTCAGGAGTAGAAATGAAGAAGATAGCTAAATGAACAGACCCTTAAAAGCTTTTGGTAGTGGTTGTTGTTGACTGCCTTCAAGTCGAGCACGACTCACAGCAACCCTATTGAACAAAAGGCCTGAAGCCCTTCTACAACTATCGACATTTATCAAAGTTCATAGAGTTTCCAGAGGCATGTTGTTTAGAAGTAGATGCCAGGCAGAAAGGTCACAGGAAAGGGTGCAGGCAAAGAGTTGGCAGATGACAAAGACAAAAATAGAAACAAGAAGCTCTTTTTAGGAGAACAGGGAAATTCCAACTTTAGAAATCTTTTTAAAGGTACAAGGATATTCAAATTATGTAATCTTAAATGAATACAGTCAACTACTTATATTTGTTCTTCAATTTCATATTAATTTCTACTAAAGGAAATAAAAAGTTAGGGGAATCTGGTGGCATAGTTCATAGGGAACTGCAATGCTAACTCAAAGCAGCACCTCTCTGGAGCCACCAGCAGTTCCACAGAAGATGGGTAATCTCCTATGTGGTTTACAGCCTCAGAAACCCACTGAAGCGACGAGAAAGTGCCAACTTGATGGCAATGAGCTTTATTTAGAGAACTAAAAATTTAGAATGATTATTTTGAAAAACTGGCTTATATTAAGAAGCTCCATTGCAATCCTAAAGGCACATGGTTCAAATCCACCAGATACGCTACTGAAGAAGGACGGGCAATCTCCTTTCATGTGATTAACTGCCTCTGAAAACTTGGCAGAGGATCAGCTATTGGTTAGTTTTGACTCAATGGCACAAAACAATAACAACAATCTATATTTTATGTCACACCTTCATATAGACTCCTAAAATTCTTTTTAATTTTTTTCTTCTATGAACTGGAACAAATTCTGACTGCAATGAACTGTATTCCTAAACTGGTTTAATTTTATCAAGCATTAAAACAATGTCTAAAGGGAGCTCTGGTGGCCTAGTGGCAAGAAGCTGCACTACAATCCTAGAGGTAAGCGGTTTGAATCCACGAGATGCTCTGCTAGAGAAGGAGGGGCAATCTCCTCCTGTACTAGTCAGATCCAATTTGACAGTACACACACTAATAATAATATTAATAATAATAATAATAATAATATTATAATAATAATAAACAACCATTTAAAAATGTCTAATCAAACACCTTCGATTCCACTGACAAACATCAAACTAATACCTGCAGGTCCCAACTCTCTCTTGTGTATTTTTATCTTTCTTCCTTTTTGTTATTTTCCTTCTCACTTTGTAGTAAAACAAAGCATCCATGTCCATCAACTTATTAACAGATAAATAAAAATGGCACATATATATAACAGAATGAAATTTAGTTATAAAAAAGAATGAACTCTTAATGTACACTACAAAACAGACAAGCCTTGAAAATACTGTGCTAAGTGAAAAATTTGAAGACAAAACTCCACATATTATGATTCCACTTATATGAATGTCCAGAATAAGGACATACATAGAGAAAGAAAGTTGATCAGTGATTGTCTACAGCTTGTGAAGCTGGCAGTTGTACCTAGAGTATATAATTTTCTTCTAAGACAATGATGCTCTAAAGTTGACTGTGGTAAAGAGTGCACTAGTCTCTGAATACAATAAAAACCACAGAATTGCAACATCATAATAGATGGAGAAAAGACAGAGATTGTTAACAATTTCCTCTTACTGATCCACAATCAAAACTCTTGGCACCAATAGTTGGGAAATTAAAAGGCGACTTGAGAAAGTTTGCTGTCAGAGACCTCTCCAGAGTGTTGATGAGCAATGATGTCAATCTGGAGATTAAGGTGGGCCTGATCCAGGCCCTGGTCTTTTCAATTCCTCACTGTGCATCATAGAGTTGTACAATGATATATACATACAATGAAACAGAGGAAGAGCCTCAACAAGATGGATTGACACAGGAATTGTGACAATGGGTTTAAGCATGACAGAGATCTTGGCATAGGTGCAGAATTGCGCAAGGTTCAAATCTGCTGTACACAGTCACTATGAGTGGTAGTTGATGGTACCTAGTAACTCCATCAGCACCACACACTTGAACATGTGGGAAGGAGTTACTCCTACTAATTCAGTAACACCAACTCACTGCTGTCAAGTAGTAACTGACCCTCCAGTGGGTTTTCAGAGGCTGTAAATCACATGGGGTGAGGCTACCCATCTTTTTCTCTTGGCAAAGCTGGTGGACTCAAACTGCTTGCCTTTCGGTTGGCAGTACAACTCCTTGCCCACTTAGCCATAAGAGGTCCCTATTTACTTCATAGCCTCTTTGAATTTTTAAAAATCATGTCATTTAATATGTTTTCAAATTCTCCTTAATGGCAAAAATGTCAAACACAGGAACTGGAAATAGAGCAGACAACTTACAAGCAAAGCCGAGTGAACAACAGAGGGGTTGGGATGGTCCATAAACAAAATAAGGCCTGGCAGACATCCCTGATCCTGGACAATGGCTCGTCGGTTCAATGGGTCTGCTGCTAGATCCCGTAGCTGGTTAACCACTGACAGAGCGTCAGGTTCTTCACTCATGGTAGAGGTGGAAGAATTCATCTTCTATGCCATACACGTGACTACAGTCTTCTTCAAATCTGTCAAAATAGTTCACAAAATTAGCTCTGGGCTGCTGAGGTACATTACGGCACTTATTAAATGACAAAGACTATAACACCTTTAAAAGAAACAGATGAATTTCATTCACACAAAAACTTGAGAACTGGCAATTCCACAGTCTGGGAAAAGCAAAATGAACATTAGAAGCTAACGGAAGAAATCAAGTTATCTATGTGTGTACAGTGTTTAAAGAACATATGCCATCTTCAATATTCCAATAAATCCCTTTTTAGCAATACATATTTTAACACTGAAGTCATAATAAACAGGATAGTTACAGTTCATGCTTAGAACCTTTACTGTACTTCCCACACTGCAGCACTGCCAAGGCTTTTATTTCCTCTGCACAACACTTTGGAACCTAAAGTGAATACTTTGG